CCGCCGCTTCTTTAAGTCTTGCAGTGACTTACTTCTATCACGAGAACACGATTGGTTTAATGTAAACAATTATTATTATTATAACCAATTGTACCTGCGCTTGTTTTAATGTGTTTTTGTTTAACTGTGCTAATGACAGACATTTTGTTCTTCCATTACACTCCATTACTTTTCCGCGGATTGTGACCTCGTACGTTCGTACTCCTGTCCGCTTATTCCACTTGTACTTCCTTTGGCACGATACTGGTATTCGTTCGATACCACGAGGTCGCCAACGAAATAAATCTGGTCACGTTCAACATTCGCCTTCTGATTTGTTTGGTACGCGCTTCCTTGTAGTGGTGTTCACAGTTAACCTCGACTCGACACCACGCCACAGTCTTATTTAGCTTGTGCATCGTCACGTAATGATATGATTCTATATTACCTCCATCATTTGTTAGCACATCTTCCATGACCGTTGTAAATATTTTATTCATGCATTTATAAACTACCTCCATTCGTGTAGTGCGATTCCTTGAAACTGAAGTACCCTGTGCATTCATTTTTAGTAAAAGTTCTTATACATATGATCGCGTACGTAAATCTACCAATACTCTCTACTTTAGTTCCATTCTTCTAACCTATGGTTAGCTCAATGTCAAAGTTACTCATCCCAACCTTGTTGATAAAATCCCCCATTACAATGTTTAGATAGTTCCTATAAATATATCCTATTTAGCAAACTGTAAAACTGAGCATGAACATTTTCAGTCATCGTTCTTGGGTGCGTAGCACTGAATAATATTCATTGGAACACTTTCTTTTTTTTACTTTGAAAGATGCTCAAATGGAAGGAAGAACAAGTGCATAAAGACTGAGGAGAAGGATATCTGATCAAGATAACAAAGAAAGATCGAGGCAAGCGTCGGAACTACAGAGTCCTCACAGTACTGTAGTGACTCACGTTTATCACGAGAACACGAATGGTTTAATAAAAACAATTATTATCATAACCAACTGTACCAGTGTTTGTTTTAATGTGCTTTTGTTTAACTGTGTTAATTATAGCCATTTTGTGCTTCCATTCTTTTACTCACACTTTGATTGTAACTTCGCGCGAATTCGGTTACGTTCTGTAACCAAGCTTGTATCCTAGCACGATCTCGGTATCCTTTCGATGCCACGAGATCGCCAGCAAATAAACATCGACTTGGTCCATTAATTGCCTTCTGGTATTTGGCTTCTCGGAGATTTTATGGGTTTCTCTGGTTACGTTCAACCTTCGCCTTCTGATTTACCTGGCACGTGTTTCTTGGTAGCGGTGTTCATAGTTAATCTCAACTCGACGCCACGCTACAATTGGTGATCCCAAAGTTTGGAGCACGCCTCAACCTCGGGTCAAATCTTCCAAAGAAGCCAATTCGGTGAGTCTATGATTTATCTATCTGTCGTATATTTTCATATTTTTTAATATATAATATACTCGACATGACGGATAACGATAAGAATAGTATTAATATAATAGACTCACACGTATGTGTACCGAATCCTTGTCACTTTATTCGCGTGACGATGAATTCCACGCTTTATTCGAGAAATTTTCCCCTATTAACTATTCTCCTCGCTGACCCGGCGGCTTGGTACGGAATGCATTCGCATACGCATTAACGTCTACCACCCAGCACCAAATAGTTAAATAAACGGTTTCACTGCCAACTTGAAAGTGCTGTACGAGCACACAAGAACGACAACTGGTACGAAACCTTATCGCTTGTCCTCTAAGGTATTCAAACGGGCCTGATGGCAGATATACAATGTTCCGCCGCTGAACTGGTATACGGCACGACATTGCGTCTGCCCGGAGAATTCTTCACACCACGGAGCAGACGTAATTTTGGTAAATCAGGCTACGTCCATCAACTGTCTGCATTTATGCGAACGCTGTCTCCGGTGTCAACTCGAATACAACATCGACAGGTCGCTCTCCCTCGAGAGTTATCTACCTGTTCACATGTTTTTGTACGAGTAGATTCGGTACGCAAACCTTGGCAACAACCTTACGAAGGCCTTTTTCACGTGGTCGCTCGTCACGAAAAGACCTTCAAGGTTGATCGATATGGACGCGTCGAGATCGTCAGCATTGATCGTCTCAAACCAGCACACGTCGATGACAGTGCCCTATCTGATAACCTGAGATTCAATTCTAGACCTATCAAACCTAGCGGGATCCTTAAATCTTCTTCAGGTCCCACGCTAGATACATTTGAGACCTCATTCTCACGTCCCAGTCAACAGCACGCGTCATCTGCACCGTCTACGGACGAGACGACAGTCTCACGTCCAGATCAGCAGACCACGCCGCCCTTGACTTCGGATGAGATTGCAGGCTCACGCGACGCGAACGAGACTACCGTCTCACGTTCCGGTCGCCGAGTACGGTTACCCGTACGCTTCCGCGACTAGTCGCACAGTCGACAACCGATACGGTGTAGGAATATTCCTATGCTACTTGCATGCTACACTCTTCTATTTTTGATTTTCTTTTTGTTTCCTGAGCCCACGCCTCCGATCAATCCCGTTTGATACCGTCGACTTCAGTCAACTTTGGCGAAAGCTGGCCTGATCACCCACGCTTTTGTCAACGTACTCAGTCGATATATTGGTTTCGAATGCTTGGCATACGCTTGGTCTCGAACTTGGTCGTTATGGCCGCTTCTGGTCTTTTGGCTCAACGTGGTTTCGTCCTACGTCTGCAGCGTTTCTGGTCCGGACCCCTACGAACGCAGTCTTCAGATTCTGGATACAAACCACTCTGGTGTAGCATGTCAACTCAAGCAACAAATACAGCACACCGTTCCTGGTACCGTTCTCCGAAAACGACCTTCGTTGGCAACTCGACGATCAACGATCGCTTTCCTGTTCGCCAATCCTTCTGTTGGGGAAGATAGATCCCCAAAACTCAAATTTTGTAATTTACTTATCGATTAAATGTGCAGATAGGTCAATTGATGAACTATCGATTAAACGTACAAATAGGTCAGTTGATGAACTATCGATTAAATGTTCAAATAGCAGTCAATTGTTGATTAATGTTCAAAAATCTTCCATGACAATATCGATTGTAAATATTTGTATAAATACGCTTAATTTGTGTGCTTGACTTGACTTGTTATCTGCTGTTTGTCTGTAGAATACACTTTCTACACCTTACACAGACTTTTTGATCGAGTTAGCAGAGTTGGGGACAACGGACCATAATAGACTATCGAGATTCTGAATCCTTCATCCGATCGATAAGTCACTGTCTTATAATCGGCTGTCTCTTTGAGACATAACACTTTCTGTCCTACAATCGCTCGTCAGCCGATCAATCCCACGATTCAAACCGCTATTTATCGAAAGTGTAAACCCTTTCTAGCGAGGGGGCTCCTGTAGTGACTCACGTTTATCACGAGAACACGAATGGTTTAATAAAAACAATTATTATCATAACCAACTGTACCAGTGTTTGTTTTAATGTGCTTTTGTTTAACTGTGTTAATTATATATATTTTGTGCTTTCATTACCTTCCATTATTGTTCCGCGGTTTTTGGTACTGTTCGCACGTACTCCTGTCTTCTGCTTCCACTTGTACCATTCCTTGGCACGATCTCGGTATTCGTTCAATACCACGAGATCGCCAACGAAATAAATCTGGTTACGTTCAACCTCCGCCTTCTGATTTACCTGGCACGTGTTTCTTGGTAGCGGTGTTCATAGTTAATCTCAACTCGACGCCACGCTACAGTACAATAGGTAACAGAAAAAGTTTCAACAGTGTTATTGAACCAAAAAACGTTCATTGGTCCCGCGGCTTTGAGGTCAACAGACCAGAAGTCGCAAGCATTGTTCGTGTACCAACCGAATAATGCTTCACTATGGTTTATTGTTGAATACTCATTTGGAGGGAATACGTCACAATCACGAATTCCATATGTAGTGGTTGACGGGATTATGTCAACCCATGTATCTCAGAGGAAGCACGGAGAACAATGGGCAGTTCGGAATTAACTAGACGATTTGGACTTCGCAGACGACCTGGTCCTCCTATCCTATACACACGAATAATTGCAGATGACGACAACAAGTGTAGCAGCAGTCTCTGCATCAGTAGGCCTCAACATACATAAGGGAAAAGTCAAGATCCTGAAATACAACACGGAGAATACCAATACAGCCACACTTGGTGAAGAAGCTCTCTGGGATAGGAGGATCTGGTACAGATGTAAAGGTAAGGATAGCATTGCTACAATTGGAGAACATATGGAACTCAAAACAACTGTCTGCAAGCCAACATCAAAGCCAGAACCTTCAGTACGAACGTCCATACAGTTCTACTGTATGGAGCTGAAGCTTCGGAGAGCTACTACAACCATCACGAAAAAAAGGTACAGGTATCTGCAAACAATTGTCTACTCAAGATACTCAATAACTGTTGACCGGATAGCATCAGCAACAATCCACAGTGGCAGAGAAAAACCCAAATTCCGACTGAAGAGGAAATTAGGAAAAGACGTCAGAAGTGGATAGGACATACCTTCAGACTGGTTCACGAGGCAAGCCCCAACTTGGGATCCTGGAGAGAAGAGGGAAAGATGACCCAAGAATACATTGCGTCGGTAATCAGAAGCAGACATCAAGAGAGTGAATAGCGATTGGAAATAACTGGAAAGGAGAGCCCAAAACAGAGTTAGCTGACGAATCCTAGTGGGTGATATATGATCGCCCGTATTATTTGTGCCCTATAGGCTGAAACCTGCCCCATTACCTGGTACTATGACAGGCAGTATTCCTAGAGGGGCTACATCTGGTCTCATACGCAAGCTTAATAATGGTTAAAAATTATAGATACTGCGTGCTAACATGTGCCCCTATTGAATACGTGTACATAATGGGACAACTTATCCGTTATTTCTATCGGACGATGTTTGAAGCCTTCAGGATTTTGAAATTGATTATTGTACATCGCTATTGACGACTTATGGTGTTTTTTTAAATGATACAATTTAACCATCAAACCCTTTTCAACAATTTTATCATGATACGTAATGAGAATTCTCTTGTTATGGACATTGGCCTACTGGCTAACGTATCTATAGAACTTAAAGATCGAATATGTGCAGACACTTTTCGAAAGCTCCAAGTAATAATTTATAGTAGAGTGACATTATTTTTAGAAACGAACCAACCGAGAGCTGTTCACTGTCGATTGTGAAGTGGACAGAGTCCTTAGAAATGAATCTTACATAAGATCAAGACTATATTCTGCGATTGATGCCTGTCAACTGGATTACAAACGAAGTATGAAGATCAGAAACATTCTGTGGAATAAGAAGTTATTATCCTCCTTAAATCAGAAAACACAAAAGCCCCTAGATGAAAGTTTCAGACTCCGAAAGACGAAGACAAAGCCCACCTATGACAGTTTTTGTAATAGTCAACATATGCAGGTTGGTCATTGACATGTGATTCACTTAATTCACTTAATTATGCGGTATATTTTATATATAATGATATGTATTCAGGAGTTTTTTGCGAAAGAAATTAAGTATGTCGAGAATAACTCCCTACCAAGTGGCATTTAATCTACGAGTAAATCTTGCGAGCTTATAAGCTCTCAAGATTTGGTTTACTTCCGAGAATTCTTTGTCGTGTGTCATACGAATTGACTGTCACCTGTTCAAATCTGTATCATAAGACTTTAGTTAAAATCACTATTTTTCATTCGTACTTAAAAAACGTAACCAGAAGGAAAACGGCGAGAGTCTCGCCGTTTGAGTTTTCTAATTTTAGGATGACCATCTTAAATACTATGCATGTATTTACTTGGTATTTATGCCCTTTTTATAGGACCCGATTCTCTGAGGCCTTGCAATTGGTGTATTCATGGCATTGTCGACTAATGTTGTACAAAATGATTGTTAGATACTGTCGTTGATTCAGGTGTGCCTAATGAGATTTCCGAATAGTGTTTTGCGTAGAGTTCATCAATTTTGGTAGAACTAACATGAAATGATTGTGTGTAATAGAATGAAAACCTACTTTTATGAGGTTCTGGAAACTAGGATTTCAATTTTGTTTGCTTTAGACTTTCGTTTGTTTTAAAGTAAAGTCGTTGAAGCGTATTGACATATTCTCTTAACTCTCAGTATTCGTTGCTTGATGTGTGCTCTCAGTGCAACATTACTGTTTGTCCTTAATACTCAATGATATAAAAGCGTTTCCATAGAGCCGACGACAAAAGATGCTACTGACCAATATGGAACTAGCGTTGACCATAATACTAAAAAAGATTAAGAAAGCTTCAATCATTGACGACTAACTGTTTGAACGTCTAAAACCATAGGGTCGCTCTATATTATGGATTCTTGAAAGTACGTGAGAGCGATTTACTTCTTCATCCGATAGTGGATGTAGATGATTCTCCATGCCACGGATAACCATATAGATGGTAAAAATTTTACAGTCAGTCAGAAAACCTATCTGCGAACACAGTCTTTCAGACGCCTTAGATTTTATGGACTCATTAAACAACGTCAATGTGTCAGGAAAGAAAATGACATCGTCAGATGCCACTTCTCCATTTACAATATTCCGCTCACAAAAACTATTTACTTCTTATGAGGTAATATTGACCTTAGCAAAGTTGACATCGGCACATTAAACCTATAGAACACCATCCTTTAATCAACAATCGGTAATTTTTATTTCTATAAGAGATATATGGATATTACATTTACCACTTGTGACGAAAAAAGCCATTTTAATAGAATATTACAAATGTTCAATAATTGTCATCATTTGATTACGTTCGCAAAAGAAGCGGAGATGAACTCGCAATCCCACTTTCTTGATATCCTACTAACAAGAAGATCATATGGGTCCCTAAAATGATCGTTAAACCTGTCTATTTTGCTATAAAATACTGCATGAAGCGATTACACACAAATACGATTGTACAGCTATCGAAAATGATGTAATCGTAAAGGAACTTTTCGTTGCTAAAGCGTCTTCACTATTTTTATTGAATTTATGAGCTTATTTTGTCTAGTTCTTTTTTACCAAAGCTGAGAAACAGTAGAATTTCGATCTTGCAGTCAGTCGATCTGTTGCTTACAAATTTAAAGGGATATGTCTTCGAGATCATTCTTACCGCATTTCGTCTACCATTATGACCTTTTAGCCCATTATAGTAGAAAAATGCGAGTTTTATCTATTCTAGCTTCGAAATTAGCTACACTCCTAGAGCTTCATAGAAGGCTATACTGAAGTTGAAAAGCATAATTCATGTGAACCATCATTACCTGCGAACGATTTACTTTTAGTGGGAATCTAAAGTCATTTTATGCAAAAGTAACTGTAGATTGTTCTTTCCAAGATGTATGCCAAACTATTGGACATTCTTTATCAATATTTCTTAGACGCAATCATGAACAATAACCAACTCAGCATTTTTAGCACCCATCGGTATGAAATAATTGAAAGCAATCGCTAAATGATTTTATTTTTACTAAACAACTTCTAGAATGTATCTCGTTCAGTTTTAATTTTTCCTCCAACATGCAAAACATTTTATATTTACGTATAGTACCACTAAACCTAGTAATAGTTATGATGAATCTACACCAGGCCCTCGAATGAAGGGACATTAGACGCTCCGTTGGTTGAGAGATAGTTCCCTAACATTCACAATTATGGGCAATATTTTTATTTATTTTAACTCATCTTAGCCGACTTAATATTATGGTATACCTGTTCGTGATGTCCCACTATCGTTTCACTTGTCCCTTTTATTATCTTTGTATTTTTATACTCTTACAGTATGCAGCAGTTTGAGACTATTTACTTTTATTTGAGGCTGTCTTATTCTTAATCACTCCTGATGTCTGACAGTCAAGCTAAACAAAATTAATTAAAATACATTAAAGAACTGTCAGAACTTATAAAATATAAGACAGTTGTGCAATATCTTTGAGTGACATAGCAAAGTAAACAACAAGACTAAAGGCTTTCAATTTAAATATTCACGAAAACAAAGACTAGCTAATCAGTTTTGTAAAATATGAAGTATTAAATCAGTGTAGCTCAGGAAAATTATATGATTTTTGTTTAAAAAATGTTAGATGTTGGCAAATATTGTAACTTCGGTTTACAAATTTTACTGTTTTACCAGAACTATCAGTCGAATACGGTTGTTCAGTCGGCTTCACCAAGTCTAACATCAGACCAACAACTTACCGTGAACATGAAAAGTGGTCAAAAATTAAATACTTCCCGAGATTTCAAACTAGAGAAAAACGAAATTTTTCTGAACAATTATAATACAAGGTATAAGTCCGAAAGTGTAATTACTAGGCCCAAAGAGAAAGGAAATTTTTTAACCCAGTGGCGTCCTGAATCTGATCCGTTGGGCTGGAGGGACATACAATTTACAACTATTGATAGTGAAGCCAGAGGAAAGAGCAGGTAGGTTAATTCTCGTCAAAATAATTGTGCCAAAGACACGTAATGTGTCTATAACGACACATTTTTCTTATAATTTAGTCTCAACTGCCTGAAACTGACAGCCCCCTAGTGCCTAAATGCCAGAAAATTGCTACGAAAAATGCATTAAATTAGATATTGGATCAACATCTTATAACTCATGGTTTTACGCTTTATAATGCTGATGTTAACTTTAAATGAAATATACACAAATCCCACTAGTGAGCTTTGTTTGAACGTAGTTTCAATGAATTTCGTGAACGGCTGTCGACCACATAACGTGTCTCGTTTTTTTTCAGACAGTGAGCAAAAAACATTGCTACTAACAGTCTTTCTTACTCTCGAAGTTTGCTTCTCTGATATTTGACTTGAAGTTATTTGTTTGCTGAAAAAAAGCAACTTGTATTTATGCATAGATTAAGTTAGGATTACGTGGAATGTAATGTCAATGACGATATATTGAATATTCGTGCTCACAGACTCCTCAATGATGAAGGTATACAAAAACCCAGACCGGTTCTGTATATCTAAAAACATAAATGTTAATGAGCTAGACAAGCAATGGAACAGTTTCATAATCTGATCTATCGGCATAACATGTATATTAAAGTATTTACGCATGTATAATCAGTTTAACCAGAGAAAATATCCAGTTTTCTGTAGTATTTAAGGTTCATTCTACTAATATCGGTCAATGATATATATATACATATATATATATATATCGCTATCAAACAGTTAAACTTCATTTTAATTTTAATTTCAGGAACCGATTATGTGGAGCATTTAACGCAACATCGTTCCAGCTAATCTATGCACAATAAACTTGGTCTTAATAAATAACTTTCACAATGAAACATGCTTTCTGTTTTAAACGTTATGAAGTAAAACCCGTTTATTATACGAAAGACTGTACCTCGGAAAGAAATAATGAAGAATTAGGCAAATATATGTTTCAGCGACGCGTCATCTAACCACACAAAAGAATTATACAAAATGGATAATCATGGTATTTTAAAAGGCTAAAAAGTATACTTGAGACCGCATACACATTTATTTTGTGAGAGTATGGTTCAGCACGTAAAATTCACAGCTACTATACTTGATCTAGTCCTCATATCATTCTTGTTTAACTTCCAGTTATCTGAGAATTCCATTTGCAGTTTCCTAATTATAGTAACTTAACTCGACATTTCTAGTTGCTTTTCACACTATTTTTAATAAACGAACCTTGTTAGCATACATGTTATAGAGTTTAATGTTAAAAACTATTCGAATTCACAATTTTTAAAATTTATAAATGAACTCTGCCAAAAGATGTTTTCACTCAACCAATCTGTCTTGTTATGTGTTTCAACAAGCATTTTCTTTTTTATCTTGCTATAAATTATTAATTGTCAGGTGGTGGGATTATAATGTAGAAGGTTGGTTATTGAAATTTGAACGCAAATCACACGTAATCACTATTTTAAAGCTTTGTAACCACTTATAACGTTTTATGAAATCGGAAAGATTTGACGTAATCAATATATAATTAATCAATTTACTTGTTTAACTGTTGGTGTAGGGATATCGTTAAAAGTAAACTTAACTAGCAACCTATATAATTTCTTATAAACAAAGGGAGATATTTCATAAAAGTCAAAGATACTTCTGTTTATTTTTCTATTTATATTATCCCAATAATAACAACTCTATTCAAAGCTTGAACAAAGGAAAGTGAACTGATAGAAAATAATTGTGGAGTTTGTAGTATTTCCACGATTGTCGAATTCACGAACTCATCTGTAATAAACTACTACTGAAAACATGGAAGAAATAGACAGCCATTCATCCGAGTGTGGGAGTCCTCAGCAGTGTACATCCATGCTCCAATACTTGGGACTCGAATTCAGGACCTTCGGTCTCCAACGCCTTCCAGTTTTGGCCCAGCTCAGTTGGCGTTTTCAACGGCGAAAAAATTATCCTTATGTTGCAGGAATTAGTGAGCAGTAACACTTGTTTGATAGACGTATATAGTTTCTAATCAATTTGGTATGCTAATTGAAAGTTTGTGAATTTCTATTTTGGTTGCATTATTTATTTCCTGAAAATACTAACTTTTGTTGCATGCACGCTAACATGTGACTTTGTTTTGATTAAAACGAGAAAGATCAGTAAACATAAAATGAATCAGGTTAGGAGTCGTGTATATTACATTTATCACACTTTTTGTGAGAAAACTTAGCTAATATTTATATAGGTAGTTGTAGACTATGTGATTGAAGTCAGAGTTATTTTCCTGACCAACGGTTAGAAACCCAAGGATATGATAGACGGTCTCATTTTATGTAAATCCTAACGAAGCATATTGTTAAAGGGATGTGCTAGTGACATTAAATCGCTAAATACAACATAATAGAGAGGAACCAATCTTAAGATCTCGCACTGATTTAAGATGATTTTCGTTCACTTGATTTTTAGTACTTTTATGTTCAGTAACTAATACAGTGTAAGTTCTATTCATTTGACACTTAGTGCTCTTTTATTTGGACTGATTAATTCAATACAAATCTCATTCATTTTAACTTTCAATGTACTTTGATCGTATTAATTGTTTCATTGTGATTTTTTATACAAAAGATATTTATTTAGTTCGATTACTTATTCAACTAACAAAAGCTGAGAGTAACTAGTACGTAGTGATGTGAACTCGAAAGTTAGTTCATTAGCTTTGTGTGTTTCTCAATATAGCTGCTAAATCAACTTGGACTTTTTCCTCTAGTTATAGGACAGGGAAAAAGAGACAATCTAGTTCATCCCTACTGAAGTCGGAATAGCGAATTATTAGCTTAGTGAACAGTCGTATTATATCAGTAAAATACAAAGCGACATTACACTGAAAACAATACATCTCAACAGATTTAAAATCTACTAACTGACTTGGGATTTATGAGAATGGTAAAACGTATAATAATAACTAGTAATAATCAAAGGATAACTTACAATTTGGAGTACATAATGATACCATAAACTAATAGTCTTATAAGTGTTTAGTTAGAAATCGTAAAATCAGTTCAATAAAAAATAGCTAGGTCTAACATTTTCTCGTTTTCACAGCTCGTACTAACTAAAAACCAATACTCTCACTTCAGTCAGGATACATTGTCGGAAATGTAGGTGAAGACTGTTAAGTATTTAACATACTATCACAATAGTATCAAACTATAGAACAGAAGAATGGCGACTAACAGCGCAATTCGATGGATGCTTCACCCTACTTGTCACTTGTCAAACTGATACGCTTGCAACCACTGAACTCAATGGACAAAGTGCTGGCGTCCAAAGACAGAGGTAATGGAATGAAGTCCTAAATATGACCATCAAAATTAGGATACGGGCATATTCAACTGAAGTGTCCCAAATATCTCCTGAATTCCACTATTAGTTAAAATCAATTTATTCTAAAAAAAAACTTGTATCATGTCTACATAGAGGTAATCCGCACATATACCAATAAGGACTGATCGAAATTTACTCGTTATCATCAAAAAACAGATAATTCAAACCCTTTCTAATGATGTTATAAATCTGAGTCTATACGTAATTACAATCAGACTGAGTGACTTAATTGTTATACACTAAAATATCTGATGTGTAAACTGATTTCGTCAATATATTTATTCTCGTACTCCATAACATAAACATTACCAGTTATTACTATTACTCAAAGAAAACAATTTATGTATATTTGTTAATAATCACAACTGTACACATTGTCGATTTCAATTAAATGGCGCAAATCAAATTACATAATTAGAAATCAAGTTTAGAAGCAAAGGACAGTACAAATCACGATGATCTTTTCAACAGTACAGGTCGAGCTTTGATTGATGTTGAATTTTCATTCTTTCTCCTCTTTTTCTTCTTCTTCTTCCCATTATTGTTATTATTATTTATTATGTAAGAATGTCTTGATTTATATTGATGAATTAAATTATTAATTGATTCTCTTTCGGAATTATCAGATATTACCAACAAGTGATCATTGTTAGTAGTAAAATTTGTATTTTGGGATGGATTTCCAGAGACAGATTTTTCAGAAGAAATTTTAGTTAATCTACAACCACCAGAAAGTAACATCTTCTTAGGTGGTCCACTTGATTGTATATCAGATGAAGTGGCCAGCTCTAAATTCTTTATTTAAAATAAATAGACAAAATCTATGTTACAATATTAAAAAAGAAAGAAACGCAGAAAGAGTAGAATTTCGAAGTTTTAAGACGATATGAAATCAGTTTTAACCTTCAGATTGTATTCGAAAAATATTGATCTCAGTTGACGTACCACTAAAAATGGTTGCGAATTGATCGAAGTTGGAATTATACCATTAGATGCCAACCTAGTATTCCCGTCAGTTGAGCAATCATTAAGTGATCCGAAGCTGATGGGCTTCATATCTAATACGGTCGCAAGTGCACACACACAATAGTTACTAATTTACACCAGTCACCCCTGACAAACGATCACAGATCACCCACCAGGATTCGTCAGCTAACTCTGTTTTGGGCTCTCCTTTCCAGTTATTTCCAATCGCTATTCACTCTCTTGATGTCTGCTTCTGATTACCGACGCAATGTATTCTTGGGTCATCTTTCCCTCTTCTCTCCAGGATCCCAAGTTGGGGCTTGCCTCGTGAACCAGTCTGAAGGTATGTCCTATCCACTTCTGACGTCTTTTCCTAATTTCCTCTTCAGTCGGAATTTGGGTTTTTCTCTGCCACTGTGGATTGTTGCTGATGCTATCCGGTCAACAGTTATTGAGTATCTTGAGTAGACAATTGTTTGCAGATACCTGTACCTTTTTTTCGTGATGGTTGTAGTAGCTCTCCGAAGCTTCAGCTCCATACAGTAGAACTGTATGGACGTTCGTACTGAAGGTTCTGGCTTTGATGTTGGCTTGCAGACAGTTGTTTTGAGTTCCATATGTTCTTCCCCGATCGAAGCTGCTACCTTGACGCGGTGGTCGGGCTTGCCTGTCGTGATGACCCAACCGAGCTATATTGGCTGGAACATATGTTCCTGTAGGTTCTACCATGCCAGGCAGGTCGATTGGTGAACGGTAAGACTAAAAGCAGCAACTCAAAGTTTGAGGGCGAAGTCGTACTGCTGACTGTAGAGAGGTGTGACAGCAGTAAGGTGTTTCTCTCGGACAACCAGCATGACAGCGATGCTGCCTTCCCACAAGGAGGGGTGGGGTTAGAAAAGGTCGACCCTAAAAATGTCACACCCTACCTTACCTCATGGATTTCCGTCTCCGGCGGTAAGGCCCTTTGAAGAACGGAGCTAACACGTCAAAAACCTTCCACAAAAAGGCCGTGCGCGACCGGCCTCAAGCAGTTGTCCCTTGGGCTCTGCGGTGACGATCACAGGTCGTTAAGACCAACACTAATCCAATTTCCTTTACAGGTTCCTCAAGAAATACCCTCCCACGGTGTGGGCAGCCGGGAAGTGATATCAGCCCTCATACCCGTAACAGCACACGGGACCAAGTTGGTCACATTCAAATCCTTCCTACACCTCCTAATACCTCTCTTATCTCCATGACTAACCCTCCTCACGTCTCTTTATCACCTCGCACCGCTAAAGCAAACGATTCGACTACGCGGAACGCTATTCCTGGTCTCCTGAAACCACGCTCTAAACTACACGTAGGAGCTTTTAACGTATGAACACTTCGCCAAATAGGACAGCAGGCTTCCTTAGCTAGGACTTTAGAATCTCGCGCCAAAGACACCTGGGTGGATCTTATGGTGTCGTGGCTCAAAGAACAGATAATGGCGACCGTCTGTTGCAGCTATGCTCAGATAACCGACTGTTCCTTGCAAATACTAACTTTAAGCATAAGGAAAAACA